TAATAACTTGTTTATATGATAGTATTTGTGTTAACTTACATTTTATTGTCGCATATGGTATTAAGTCTTCCCAATCCAACAGACGTTTCCTCTTCCAGGAAATAGCCCTGGGAATATCATTTGAAGTTTTTATTGCCATGTCTTCATGGCGGGAAAGGCCTCGAATATCCAAATCTACAAACAATATAATAACAAACATTAGTAATTGTTAAATAATTAATTATAATTTTGAAAACATTATATAGAAATTCTTACCTTAAAGGCCCAAACAAAGCCTGACAAAGTGTATTTCGACCTATCGCCCCGCAAACTTTTGCGGTCATCAAAGGCAGACGACAACTTAGTCCAGGTAGCTTTCCATATATACGAACCCCACGGAAACAGATTCCATGCATTTAGGTCCTCTACCAATAATATTAGCTCCTGAGGAATAGGTTGTCTGGCCTCTCTGCCTAAAAAGCCGGCATACAAAAGTAGTAGAAGGCATACTCGGACAACATCGACGTCATTCATCCGAGTAAAACCATCTTTCTTATTAAACCCTGGAAAAACCCTAGATAACCATGATGGGCGGGTGATATGACGAGTGTACCGGCCTACATCATCGTGTCCGAATCGTAGACCAGTGATTAAGCAGAACTCCTTCCGCCCAAAACAAGTATACGCCGGTGGAAAATGAAACCATATCTCTTCCTCACCACGTTGTATACTGTCGGTAGATCGCTAGTCATGGTCTGAAGCCACAAATGGGTCAAACTAGCATCTCCACCCGGATGTTGTACTCTCAGCCATGGCCCGAAGCAGGTTCTTTCAAACATTTTCTTTGTGCAGGTGAAAGCTTCGAAGCAATTGTAGTGGCTAGGCTAACTTTATTCCTTAATGTCAATGAAGCCGAAAAAAATTTCTACAAAAAAACAATAAACATACCAAGTTAGATATACCAAAAATTACACTGTCAAGATATACCAAAAACAAAACAATAAACATAAATAGTAGTTTATTCTTGAAACTAAAATTTGCAACACAGTTTTTGTCTTTTGGTTGAAATGAAAATCGCAACGAGATAATGAGAATCGCAACACGGAAATGACTATCGCAACGAGAGAATCGCAACGCGAAATGACTATCGCGACCAGACAATCGCAACGCGAAATGAAAATCGCAACCGCGAAATAAAAATCGCAACGCGAAATGAAAATCGCAAAATCGCATTGCGTTTTTTATTTCGCGTTGCGATTATCTCGTTGCGATAGTTATTTCCGCGTTGCGATTTTCATTCTCGAAACTATTCTTCTTCTGCATTACTTCAACCAAAAGACAAAGCAAAGACAAATACTAACTTCACAAGCTAAACAGTTTAGCAGTATTGGCAGCAATCGAATGAATTTAATAAGAAATCTAAGTGAAATGGTTAATCTATTATTGAAATTACCAGTAAACTTATCATCAATCTCAATATGAAAAACCTAAAATAATGCAAAAATTTCAAAATAAAAATAAAAAAAACTAACCCTCGGAGGTTGATTTTCCATTTCTGAATGATTGTGAGGGATTTTTGACTGTGAATGGTTGTGAGGGATTTCGCCGGCGATGGGGACGGAAATCTTCGGAGATGGGGACGGATTTCGCCGTAGAGAGTGAGAGATGGAGATGGGACTGAGTGTTGTGTTTTTGGGTTTGAGGTTATGAGTTGCGATTACTGTGGACGGTTCAGTTTCCGATTTATTAAGAAAAAATTCGTGTTTGGAATTTGAAAAAAAATACGCGTTAATACGAATGGCGCTATGTAAATCGCGTTGCGAAAGTCAGAATCGCGTTGCGAAAGTCAGTATCTCGTTGCGATTTTGTATTATCGCATTGCGATAGTCAGTATCGCATTGCGATAGTCAGTATCGCATTGCGATTTTCCCAATTCGCGTTGCGATTTACTTATTCGCATTGCGAATTGGGAAAATCGCAACGACATTGTATACCATCGCAACGCGATTTCCAACTATCGCAACGCGAAATGCAACGCGAATTTGTGATAATGGAGATCGCGTTGCGAATTAGCGATCGCATTGCGATTTTGTTGGTCATTTTGGCAAATCCGGAAAAAGTTGGTTAAAATCGTATATTATATGAGATTTTTTGTCACTGAGGTTATTTTCTCTAAAAAGTATCTATTAGGGGTGTAAACTAGCTGAGTTGAACTCGAGTATTGTGGAGCTCGACTCGACTTGAAAACTCTTAAATGAAGCTCGACTCGACTTGAAAACTCACGAGTTTAAAGTTTTCAAGCTCCACTCGAACTCGAAATCTTGAATTGAAGCTCGTGAGCAGCTCAAAAAAGCTCGAAATGAAAAAAAATTCTTAAACTTAACTTAATTGAAGCCTTAAACTTAAACTCGAACCCGAACATTAAATACATGAAAATCTTACTGTATTTAAAAAAAAGCAATACATAAATATTAATATTATTAATAATTTATTTTAAAAAATAAAATCTTAATATATTATATTTTCGAGCTACTCACGAGTTTTTCGAGTCGAATATTAAGTAGCTCGTTTCGGCTTGTTAAGAACTCGAGTCGAGTCCATTCGATCCGAGTATTTATCGAGCCTTGATCGAGTCGATCTTGAGCAGCTCTCGATCTGTCTAGTCTCATTTACAGTATCTATGATTGCTCAATTATTTTGTTGCGTTTGACTCAGTACTATTTATTTGTTTTAAAATAGAGAAAAACATAAAAATAACAAGCGTAAACTATATCCACAGTCACCAGATTATTAGTATGATTACATTTTGGTTGTTTAATTTAAAAAAATTGCGTTCTCACCATTGGACTAATCAATGTATAGTATTTCATTCATTGCACAGTGTAAATGACACTGACCATAATTTTTGCACATATAGTTTAGACAAAAATGTTGTTAAATTCATTATGGCCTGAAATTTCAGGAAGCATTCATGGCTTGGGTACCATGCTTCTCGATCTTCTTGTGTTGACTTCTCCACATGCTTCATTTTTCCACTGCCAAGACCTCTATTACGATCACCTCCATCGCCACCATTTCTCGTAGTCCCACTTTGCACTCAATTGAACAAGATGGATTCAATGTCACCGGGGATGAGGATAGGGTATGAGATTCAAAATAAAAATTAGACCGAAGCAGACATGACTATGACCTTATTTCCATCCCACTCCATGCTGCTCACTATAAATAACATATATTAAAAATAAAACTTTCAAAAAATAATTTTGTTGCATATACTACTGATTGAATTCTAGATTTTTTTGTACCCGTGTTGCATTTACAATGTATTTCAGACATTGTTTGTGCTTGAATATTATGTAAAGGTTTTATTTTTTAAATTTATTGAATTCATGTTGGAGTTATATTTTAATTTATCAATTAAAAAGATATAATAATTTATTGTTTTTTTTAAAAAAAATGATGAAAGTTGAAATAATATCGCATATATGATAAAAATGCGAAAGATAGATATTTCATAATTTTTTTTCAAATGAAAGGATGCATGTGGAAGGTAGGACATGACATGGATGGTTTTGGTCTTGAATATTGTGGTGATGGTTTTGAATTGTATACATGCAATGGATCTAGGGACAATAATGGAGATGAAAGTTTATGTTGCTGGTACTCTCGTTCCGCTCAATTGACATCCCTAGGTGAGAGAAACAAATATTTTATTACGTGATGTAAGTTTAAGATTAAAATTAGTAATTTTTTTTATTAATATGTCACATTATTCATATGATGTGAATAATTATTTTTAAATTAATTGATGAATAAATGATGAAAATAAAGTATTTGAAAATAGAATGATTAAAATAAAATATAATAACAATACTAATAATAATAATAAATATTTTGTAGCATTTTGATTTCAACATTCATTTTTGGGTAAAAAGCTCCCTTTGTATATGAAAATTGTTGGTCAACAAATAATTAACACTCTAAAATAAGAATCATAAAATGAAAAGTTGAACGTGAAAATACTAAAAATAATTAAACTAACTATTTAATAAAATTTTATGAGATTTCTACCTTAAAATATAACAGTAGAAATTAAAATATTCAAAGAAAAACTAGTAATAAATTTAATCAATTATTAGAATATTGTTTTGATATTATACCAATAAAAAATAGGGTAAAGTACACAAATGGACCTCTTACTATAAGATATTGCTTTATTAAGTCTCTCAACTATTGAAAGTTACAAAATAATCTTATAACTATAAAGTGTTACTTTATTGAGTCTCTTAACTATTAAAAGTATTAAAATGGACACCAGAATATTCATTTAAAAGTTATAAATTTATGATATTCTGAGCTAAACGTTAACCTGTTGATTGTGATATGATAAAATCTGATCCAAGAATCTTAAACAATTATCATATCTAATTCATTATGTTAACATCAAGCTTACATAATCGCCATTTTTTTTATAAAAAAAGATAAGTTTATAATATAATGAATAGTCGGGTGACTATTTTGAAACTTATAATAGGCAAGAGACTTAACAAAGGAACATTCTATAGTCGAATGAACATTTAATAACTTTTAATAATAGAGAGACTTGATAAAGTAATACCCTATAGTTAGTGGCATATTCATTGAGGGCTGAGGGTGGGCACGTGCCCACTTTGAAATTCAATTTTTCGATTAGTTGCCTATTTTATTGATGGTGTCTATCCTGAAATTTTATTGTGTTAACTCTGAAATTTTTCGATTAGTAATCTATTTTATTGGTATTGTCTATTTTGAAATTTTATTTATGTCTGCTTCATTCAAAAATTTTATATTATTAACATATATGTGTACATCCTTTAACTTTTTTTAAATTCGTCCCTTCCTATAATCATAAAACAATTTGTTATCTTTAAAAAAAATGATGATCATTATAGTTGTTTATTGAAAAGGAGAAAAAATATGTAAAAGGGAGAAAAGGTTATTGGAAAAAAAAAAGGAAGGAATAATAAGAAAAGCATGAAGTGTAGGCATTGGTAAAAGCTGAAAAGAAGAAAATAAAGATCCACCTCGAACCTCCCTCCACTCTTTCTTTCGCTCTCAACGTGAGATTTGCTTCCACTTATTCTTGTTTTTATTTTTCAAAGAATAAGCAATTGTTTATTACTAATTCCTCAAATATGTGAGTAAATTCTGAAACTCGATAATCTTTTTGTTTGTTTGTTGGTTGGTGCAGTGAGCTAAGAGGCTTTGGATTTATAGCTCCAATTTGGGATTCATTGCTATCTGTGAATAATTATGAGGGAAGAAGAGTCAAATTGGTTCTCCAAATGGGAGGAAGAGCTGCCATCCCCGGAGGAACTTATGCCTCTTTCCCAATCCCTAATTACTCCTGATCTTGCTCTCGCCTTCGACATTCGCAACCCCAACCATGCCCAACACAAACAGCCTCATCCTCCTCCGCCTTCCTCGGCTCTACTGCCCCCTTCTCAACACTCCTTGTCCGAATTCGCCGCCGATTCCGGGGACCTGAGATCCGGGGCAGCCGGAGATGAGCCCGCGCGCACTCTCAAGCGGCCTCGCCTTGTGTGGACCCCACAGCTCCACAAGAGATTCGTTGACGCCGTGGCTCATTTGGGGATCAAGAACGCCGTCCCCAAGACCATAATGCAGTTGATGAGTGTCGATGGCTTGACGAGAGAAAACGTTGCGAGCCATTTGCAGAAGTATCGCCTTTATTTGAAGAGAATGCAAGGCTTGTCTGGTGGTAGTGGAGGCTGTGCCAACGGAGGATCTGGTGGTGCCGGATTAGGGGCCTCCGCTGATCCAGCGACGGACCATTTGTTTGCAAGCTCACCGATTCCGCCACACTTTCTTCATCCTGCTCGAGCTAATTCAGAGCATTTCTTACCTTTCGTGCCAGTGCCAGCCCTGCAGCATCACCAACAACAGCAGCAAATGCTGGCGGCCGCGGTAGGGCATCCTCATTTGCAGTCTCAGTATCATCGGCCACAAATGGGTCTCTACGGGTCATCTCCAAATAGCCAATTGGAGCATCCTTTCTTAGGCAGGCAGACGCAGCAACCAATGCACAGGATGGGAGGGACGCCGGTGCACAATCAAGCTCCCAGTAGTTATGTGGAAGATTTGGAATCTGCCAATGGAAATGGTGGAAGGAAGGTTCTTACATTATTTCCTACTGGGGACGATTGATTCAAAACTTTGGTAATTATTGACACCTTTCTTCAAATTAGCCTTTTCTTCAAGTTTCATCATGTAGAGTCTTGGTGGGTAGTCATTCATATTTCTGGCTTTTTTAAAGCTATCATGAGGGGGTGCTGGTGATCGGAAATGAACTTCAATTTCTGAATTTCATCTTGAGCTGGTCGGTACTGTACTTAATCTGTTATTTTTTTTTCACTAGACTCTGTTGATCATTGTTGCTGTGTCAGTTCTTCAGACTTCTAGGTCTGTAATTAAGTTGTCCGTTGCAGTCTGTTTTCTCTGTGAGCTTCTTGTGGTGGATTTAATCCTAAGGTCACTCTAAGCAACAATATGTTCTTTAGGCCTATCATGCTTTCAATTACATTGGTCTACTGGTATAAATTAATCTGGATTTCTTTGTGGCTATGTTTACTAGGAATCGTCTCAATTAACTTAAAATTTAGAGTCTGCTTGCATGGGAGTCCTTTCATCCAACAAGGTGGTTTTGAGGCTACATGACTAAGTTTTGAACTTGAAGTGGGGAAAAAGACACGATGATCATCCCTAGTCAGTTTCTTTGTTTATTGCAGTTGGTACTGAGGTTCTCAAGTTTCCAAAATTCTCATCTGTGTTAATTATCTGCTTGTCTTAGTTCAGTGTTATGTAGAGGTAAGTTGTACAATGTATTACTCCATAGAAGACTTTGGACCTGTGACAGAAAGGAAACTCAAGGATCTCTGACTTCCTTTTCATTCTTCTCTAATTTTTCTTTGTAAAGTCTTATCCTAATGAACATTAGCTGCTTTTCTGAAATTTCACAGCATCTGTAACTGTTCCTTGTGTTATTGAATGGCACAAATCTCTAGTGCAAAGTAGAACACTCAGCATTTCTGATCAATAAATAATGTAGATTTTGTTGGCATATTGTTTGAACATATTAGCTTTGGTCTTCTTTCTCAGTTTTTTCTGGCTGAAATATTAGATCTTAGAAAAAAGAATGTAGTCAATTAAATTATAACCAGTTCTATTTTGTGGTGAAGTATTACGGTTGCCTTTTTGGGCAAGACAGAAATCAAAGGCACCCAAAAGGTAAAGTAGACTAATAGGTTTATATTAGTAATATTTCTAATTGGAATAATTTATTTAGAAAATATTTTCTTGCAATTCAAAGTCCTACAGTTTAGTTTCCTCAATTATAGTTTCTTCTACAAAAATAAAACCCTATGAAACCTTTAAGGGGATGATTCTTATTGATAAAATAAAATAAATTATTCCAATTTATAGAGGTTTAGGACTCTCTTCCTTAGAAGCTCCCCTTGATGAGTTCCATATATTATTTAATTATAGGTTCTTCACAAGGTAGGAATTGATAGGTAAGGTTTATCAATCAAAGCCATGATTCGTCTAGTGACTCGATCCATAACCTGTGACCCTAACAACTTAACATCAGAGCCAGACACCGCGGGCTATTTCAATGAAAAAGAGTCGAGGGCTTTGTTACTAGAAGCGCAAAAAATTAATGAAACAAGAGTAGAAGAAGCCAAGTCAGGAATGGTAGCAAGCATCACACAAATCGAGTCTAAATTGGGAAATGAATTGCAACAACTGTCACTACCATTGTAGTCACTTGTTGGTTTCAACTGAAACAGCAAAAGAAAGTTTGATGGGAGCATGAGCAACAATAACTACCGTTGACAGGGTTTAAGTGGTGTTGCGTTACACAAAGCTTGGTTTTCCAACATTTGATGGGTTGGAGGATTAGTTAATTTGGTTACACCGGTGTGAAATTCTTCTCCAATTAGCAGGCAACAGAAATATACACGTTTTGTTTGGTGCCTTTCCACATGTTAGTAAGGTGCAATGTGGTCTTATCAGAAGGAGCCAGAGGAACCGAGTCTCGCATGGGAGGCATTCAAGGAATGTTACACTTTGAGGTTTGACCTACCACTATGACGTAACCATTTTGATCAACTAACTTGAACTAGACTAGAACTGTTGAGGAGTAACAGCACCAATTTCAAGGGCTGTTGGCACATAGCAGTACAATGTAAGTGAACCAGCAGGTCGAATATTTAATGCAGGGTTGACGGACTCAATGAGGCTTGATGTGGAGATGCAAAATTCCCTGAACCTTTTTTAGGTAATGAACATGGCATGGGCCTTTGAGAAGAAGCAACAACTAGAGAAAGAATTATTAAAGTAGGTCTTCCAGTGAATTGCTTTGTGACTTGATCAATAACGTCGACCACAACATAAAGCAAACTAGAGAAAGAATTTTGGCGTCAATGTTTGTTGCATTGAGAGTGAAGCATTTTTGAAACTAGAGTACACAAGCCATGTGAATTGAGCTGTTTTATTACCCTTTCACTGCTCTATTTCATTGTTTAAATGGTTGTTCTTTTTCATTTCTACGCCAACTATGCTTTGTTTTGCTTAATTAGTAGGGTCTTTATATCACGGTTTAGTGACATTTTGAAGTTCTGACTATTGGTAAGTATTTATGCAAGTAAGCAGAGCATTAGACTATATACGTCCCTTTCATGATTTCTTTAAATTTTCAAAACTGGAGGCTGGTTTCCCATAATGGAATCTATGATATAAGCTTCCTTGTGATTCCAATACCATAGTTGCATTCTTCTTTACTTTTTTTCTTTGTTAATTCTTCTAGTTCTCTATATAGATGAATGAAGCATGTCATAGATAACTTGGATAAATCAAGTGTGGAACTTTTAGATTTGGGTTTAATTTTCTATTTTATTAGAACAACTATTTACTGAAGTAGAGTAGGGTAGCGGATGTATGATTTTATGTTAGAGAGTGAATTTATAAAATTTTAAGAATGACGAAAACAAATTATCAATAGAAAATACATAGAAAATATCAAAACATATTAAAAGTTGACTAGTGATCGTTTAGCTAATGGTTGCTATTCTATTGTTGTCTAAATGGAAACTAAACTTGGATGTTTGAGCTTGCAGGTGATCATTATAGATTGGTCCAATTTATCTGTTTGGGTTACTGATCTACATTATCGAACTCTAGTACGTACTACGTTAGGGATTCATGGCTATGGTCAGTGTTACCAAATAATTAACCGAATATAATTATTTTATAATGCAAAAATAAGTTTTATATTTTAAAAATAGGGAAATAACTTATAAATATTATATATGAAATATTATTTATTATTTATTTAAAAAAGATTTATAAAAAAGATTTTAAAACTTTACCAAATAATGTTTAAAATTCATAAGACGAAGCTATTTTCTCAAAAATAAAATATAAAATTTAACACTAGGATTTAATTTGAAAAAATAAAAATAAATCGAGGTTAATTGAATAAAATAGATGAATTAATGATTTTTATGGGTCAACTACCTATTTGATACCTTATATATTCTTGTATTTATGTTTTGATCACTAAACTATTTTTTTTATATCATACACAATGTTATATTTTTTATTTTGATATCTCATCATTAGATTTGATCGTTGATTTGACGCGAATTAAGTTGTGGCATGATATGATTGTAGACATCTATTTTCGTCTGAGGTTCATTTAGTATATATAATAATATAGTATAGTTTTTGAAATTATTTTTGAAAAAATATATTATATAGTTTTTAGAAAACGGTTTTTGAAAACAAATAATATATATATTTTTAAAAAAAAATTAGTTTTTGAAAATATATATAATATGGTTTTGAAAACACGTTTTAAAACATATAATATATGGTTTTTAAAATATTTTTGAAAACGTATATATAATATAGTTTTTGAAAACATATAATATATAGTTTTGAAAACATATTTATGAAAACATATATAATATATAGTTTTTAAAATATTTTTGAAAACATATAGTATATAGTTTTTAAAATGGTTTTTGAAAATATAATGTATGTTATATAGATTTTAATAAGTGTTATTTGTATTTATGTATTGTTTATTATTTATTTATTATATAATATTATATTATGTTGTTACTATTATTATTATTATTATTATTATTATTATTATTATTATTATTATTATTATTTTAGGGGTCCAATAAGCCCAAAAATCTGAAGTCTCGATCTAAAAATGAAGCCCAACCGAGCCTGCAAACCTGACCCAGCAAGCAAACTCGATGGGAAACCCAGCCGCTAGCCCACCTGACCCAGTGGGCAAATTGTCGAGATCAGGAAGCCTACTAGGTTAGGGTTTCACACACTTAAGCTACAGCGCAACCAGATCTGGACCGTTGAATCTGACCCAATCCAACGGCCAGAAAGTGATCTCAACGTTCCAAAAGCACCAGCTAGTAGTTAACGGCGCGTGAGGACCACGCGCCGACAAAAGGAGCAACATGCGTTGATACGCGCTAAACTGAAGCATTTCGGTACCCAACACAGAAAAGATCAGAGCAAAATATGGAACAAATACGTTCCATAAAACCCATAACAGAAGGATCTTCCACGAAAAACAAAAATCCCTATTAAATCGGGATTGAGCCACCGAGATTCAAAGGAAAAGATTTCCTTTGAGGTTATATAAACCCGACGAAGAATAACAAAAAATCATTAACAAATCATAAAAAAAATGAATCATTCGAAATCCACAAAGATGCAAAGAAAAAGATCATAAAAAGGGAACTGAGCATCGTTTTGTTCGTCGGAACCGAGAGGAGCCAAGCACCTTCGAAAACCGAAGAGTCATCGAAAAAGGTAAGAGAACCGAGGGGGTTTGGCCTAGATCTAGGGCGTTTGGCTTGTTGTATGGAACTTTTGTGATTGGGTTTGGGGTTAGGGTTGTTAGTCAAGTATTTTGGGGATAGGTTATGGTTCGTCAGCCATCGTAACTGGTGGCGAGTGGTGGTCCGGTGATAGGTTTTCATCGGGGGCGAGGGGTTTGGTTGAGAGAATTTGAGGGAAGAAGGGAGAATATTTTCGGTGGTTTGATGCAAATGAGGTCAAAATAGAGGCTTGGGGGGTTTTTATAGAGGGGGCACTAGTGTAATTAAAGGATTTCTAAATCCTTTCCGCAGTCCTCCCAGTTTTGAAGCGTAGTTCAATTCGGTCACCATTTGTAATTTCACCTCATAATTTTAATTTAATTTCGATTTTATCCTTTTTGTTATTTTTATTCATTTTACTTTGGTGCCCTAATTTTGTTTTTTTGCAGTATTTATATTTTTAATTATTATTATTATTTATTATTATTATTATTATTATTATTATTATTATTTTTAAAAAAATTAGGACTTCAATTATATCACAAAATTCTTGTTAAAGGTAAGTAATTTGGATATAATTTTTACTTTTAATTTAACTTGTAATTTTCGCAATTAAGACAACTGGAAAATTAAATTAGTACCGAAAGGGCAGTACAAGGATGCTAATCCTTCCTTGAATGTAACCGACTCCTGAACTCAACATATTTTTTTGTAAGACGCGGATCAGGTAAGAAAATAAACCAAGGTGTCAGATCAACCTAATTCTTATTTTTAAAGATAAATGGTCGGTGGTGACTCTAACCCATTTATTTAAGTCGAAGCCCGATTTCGGGCCCACCCGAAGGACAGTTACGACAGATTGGCAACTCCACTGTGGCAACTCCACTGGGGACAAGTAAGTGAGTCAAGCTAAAATTAATTTTTAGTTGTCTTTTTTAAGCGAAAATTATAAGTTTAAATTTTAATTTATTTATTCGATCCTTATTACTTATCTTTGATTTTTTTTCAAATAAATAGTTGTACTGATGTTTTTCCAATGATTTCAGCTTCTTAAAATTTTCATCTCAGGTTCTATACCCGAGGTCCAAACCTTTTTAACTGGAGGTGAAAGAGACGCATTAGTGGGAATTTATTCTCCGTATATGTCTAGCAAGTAACCTTCGGGATTCATATATCTTATGTCTTCGTGTGAATTTATTATCCGTATAG